AGGCGCCAGTGCGATCACGTGCATTTTTTTCTAACAGTGGAAACAACTTAAAATACGGTCATTTCTGCTCATAAAGGTAAGAGTAATACATCATTCTAAACTGTAAAGGGTCTAGTTTTATTTGTGTGCACTCACAATATCAACAAAACGTTGTGCTTTTATAAAATAAAGAAAACAAACGCTTTCTGCCGTCTCGGTCTTGAACAGGAGTGCTTCCCTTGGAAAATGGCATTTAAGACTTTTTAATACTTATTAAGGGCCTTAATTTGATCTAAATTGATTTATCAACTTTTAATACTTTTTAAGACCTCGCGGACACCCTGATTACCTAGCAGTAACCAGCATTAACCAGCAGTAACAATCAGTAAGCAACATTAATCAGCAGTAGCCTGCAGTAACCTGTATTAACCAGCAGTCAAACGAGACATCCTCAAATGAAAAGGCTTGAATCCTGGTCTACAGCACAATCCTGGACTCATTTGAAAGCAGGAAGAGTTTAAGAGAAGCTCAAATAGACTCAGAAGTGACTAACAGTTGAGTATGAAATGCTTTCAAGAAAAAATGACTAGGAGTTCAGAGGCCTGAAAAATATCAGAAATCAAGACAAACGTTTGAGCAAGTTCTGGTTCTGGTCTCTATTCTCTCTTTGGCATCTCTGCTGATATCGGACGGGTTTTCTCGGTTTGTTTGAATGCTTTCACTTACTGGATCATTGGACTGAAAACTTTCCAGGAGATTAGCAGATTCAACTGTTCTGATCACAAATACAATGGTGTCTCTTTCCTGCTTATTTCTGCTTTTTAAAGTATTAGTCCTGCTATAATGTACTGATTGAAACACAGACTTCATGGCGAATCTTCAGCTTTTCAGCTTTCAAAAGCTTTATAGTTTAAGAAGATGAATTGAATAGCAGATATTAAACAAGCAATTGGCAGTTGGTGGCACAGTACGGTTTAACTACATAGATCATTTAGAAGCTACATAGATCCAAAATCACTATGAGAGAAGTGTTGATTAAAAATATACAGTCAATTTATTCAGACACCTTCAACATTTCACACATTATCACAGTTTATTCGCTAGAGTTTAGAAAATGGTAATGAAATAACAAGAGCTCAGAGTTAAACCGTATTGGAACAAATTCATCTTGATAAAGTCAGACAACACTTAAGCAAAACATGGTCAGGTCAAAGTGTCTGAATCATTTTTGGTCCCAAATTGTATCAATTTTACTGGTAGTCCACTGTATGAAGAATTTTGGGGTATAATATGTCACAGACTTTATTTTGCTATCCTCACTTACATAAATGCAGCATTATATATAGTGTCCTGCACCCAATAGTAAAAAAATATATATTATTTAAAATTAAAATTATAATGATATCTGGTGTCTGAATAATTTTTGGTTTGACTGTAATTCAAAAATGAGCTGTTTTATTGAATATTTCAGAAGCAAAATGGTGCTAAATTTCAAGAATATTACAAAACCACCACAGAGAGAACGCAGGAACAAGCATGTAATCACATTCATATTTACTGTGTTATTGTTCTTGATTTTAAGGTTTGTTTTTATGTTTCTGTTCTATTTATTGTATTTTATTTTCCCTTGCATTTGCACCCCTGTTGGCACTTTTAATTTTATCTATTTGTGTATGTCCGCTGTTTCTAATCAAAATGAGCAGTTTTATTCAATGTGTGTGCTGCATTTTCATGCATATTAGATTGTCACATTAACAACATCAGAGCTGCTGTCTGCTGACTTTATTGTCCTCGCAGCAGTTTGTTTGGTAGACAGCAGTACATACACAAAACTCAACACACATTAAATAATCACTACAGGAATAAACTGATTCTTCCATTTATTTGATGAATCCTTCCTAGTCATCTTAATTTCATAATTTTGTCAGTCAGTCCTCACTATCATGCTGCATGTTGAGTCTGTTACTCACTTTACTCCTATTTCTTTCACTGAGATTGCCGTACCAGCAAATAACGAACATACAAAAAAAAAACACATTTCCATAAAACAGACAGAATTGCAATGCCTTTTTTTGTATTATTTGTTATTGCTATATTTATTTAGAACTTCTTTTGTACTAAACCTGGCATTGTATATTAGGAAGATTGTTGGCTCTTTGATGAAATGCTGCTCCTCTTTTGTTGCCGTCTGATAAATGCTTACATGTCACGTCATGTTTTGTGTAATAATGCTTTGGTAATACTGCATGCAAACACAATCCTGTCAATAAAGTACTTTAATCTGAACTGACTTCTATATTAAACGTTTCCTCAGAAAATGCATGCATGACGCTCAGAACACTCTCTTAGTAGGCAGCTGCCCATGTAGTGAAGACAACTCATTATCTAATTACTCTGATGGCTTCTGCTCTGTGACTTCTGACCTTTGACCTCTGGAGTCACAGGCCTTAAAGGAGGTTCAAGTTGTGCTGATGAGGAATGTGTGAGAGAGAGAGCGAGAGACCAGTCCTCAGGCTACGGTTGTAATATCAGCAGTGAATAACGCAGTGCTGTGGGATTGTGGGTAGCAGAAGAGTGATTCTGCTCATCATGAGCTGCGCTTAATTGTCAATTACTTCTTAAATAGCATCTCATAAAGACACAGCTCAGTCGAATGACCACAAACGACTCTCATGAATCACTTACATACTTCAAAATAAATGGGTTTGTGGCTTCTAACACAACTAACATTTAATTCTGTGGTTCAGCAGAGAAACACTCATCATCTGTGGCAAACTGTAATGTGCTTTATCAAATATTTTAATGGCCTTTTACACACAAGAACTGACTCATTTGACTCGCTGCATTTGAGATAATAATAACAATAATATTAATATTATCATCATTATTCAAACTAATATTTTATTTAAAAATACAAAACAAAAATCAATTAAGAAATACAGTATATTTCTATTGTAATACTATTGCACTGTAAAATAAAAAACATATTTAATAATAATAATAATAATAAAGTATATTTGTATTATTCTTTAAAATGTATTAAACAAAACAAGCATGGACTTATTTGACTCACTGCATCTGAGATAATAATAATAATTATTATTATTATTCAAATAAATATTTTTATTATTGTTAAAAATATGTAAAACAAAAATCAATTAAGAAATAAATTATTAATATTTAATAATAAAAAATAAATATTTTATATTTAATTATAATAATAATAATAGCTAATATTTTTATTTTATTACCATTTAAGAAATATAAAACAAAAAAAAATAATTAAGAAAAATACTAATGTTGCAATACTAGTATAGCACAGGTATTTATTAATAATAGTAATAAATATAATAATTTTGCTTTTAAAAATATGTAAAATTTATAAATAGCTTTTTACACAAATGTAGTAAATTTAGCTTGTGTGGTGCTGTCAGAAGTGATCCATACATGAAATAAATGCATTTTAAATGTATATGAAAGCAGCAATATTTCACATTGGTCACACCTCAGGTCAGTAAATACGGAAATCCGTATAAATTCGTAACAATCACATTCTTTTGTTGTGTGACGCGTCTCAGATGTGAATGAAATGACTGAAATGAGACAACGTGCCTCTCTGAGACTGACTGTCACATGCTTACTGGGAATCTCCAGCAGAAATAAGTGCATTGTGATCTTCACAGCGCCCACCACTGACGTCATGAACTCATGTCCAGTGACTGGAGCGTCAGTCTGAGAACAAACAGCCGGACTGTTCCTGCTGGACTGACAGAAACCTGCCGACACCAGCGGCATTCTCCTCTGTAACGAGCCTCAGACAGACCATTACACCAGTGTGTTAATGAGCCGATGGAGATAATCAAATAATCTCTTTCATCCTGTAATTAGTTCCTCAGATACTGCTGAATCTGCAGCGCCTCAGGAAACCAATCATATCTCACTGCAGCTGTACGTCTTCTGTCTGAGACGGGAACACAAAATAACATGACGACACGTCTTCACATTACACCGTCTGCACTGACTGAATGAACAAAACACACAGCATGATCAGTGTCTGATTCACAAACAAATGACTCTGTTAAAGAATCACTCAATATGACTCACAAGTTACAGGTCTGAATCGTTCAAACGAATCATTCACTGAATCTGTCATTGGTTCAAAAAATAAAAAATAAAGTGACAATTAAAGTCACTTGCACACACACACACACACACACACACGAGTATGAATTATATATATATATATATATATATATATATATATATATATATATATACATACACACAGTACATATATAAAATTAATTAAAACTGAAACTAAAATTGAAAACATTACAAAAATATTTTCGCTACTTTAAATAAAATAAACTTTAAAGGAACACTCCACTATTTTTGAAAATAGGCTCATTTTCCAACTCCCCTAGAGTTAAACAGTTGAGTTTTACCGTTTTCTAATCCATTCAGCCGATCTCCGGGTCTGGCGGTAGCACTTTTAGCTTAGCTTAGCATAGATCATTGAATCTGATTAGACCGTTAGCATTTCATTCCGGCGTAAAAATCTAGGAACTTTGCTGCCGTACCATGGGTGCATCAGGCGCAATGATATTACGCAGCGCCAGAAAATAGGCTAACTTCCGTCAACATAGCCAACTACACAAACTTAGTGCTGGTAACATTAGTTAATGCACTGTGAATGAACAGTCACAATTTTCATTAACTAACATGAACAAAGATGAATAAATACTGTAATAAATGTATTGTTCATTGATTTTTAATGTCTGTTAACACATGAACTAACATAAACTAATGGATTGTAAAGTGTCACCTTTATTATGTATCTTTTATTTACGTTCATCTATTTTCATTATCAATTTTAATGACAGTTTTTATTTGTGTATATATGCATTTTATTTTCATTGTTAGCACTGTTTAGTCTCTGCTGCTGTATAGTTCATGATCATTTGCCGTGGTGGGACGCGGTTCTGTGTGGTTTGGCTGTGCTTCATCAGGATCGGTCGTACCTGGTGCAGGTCGTCTCCCAGAGCGAACTCCTGGAAGTATCCCGGCGCCGCAGACGAGGCTCGGATGGCCTCCCACAGCCGGTGTCTGCAGGAGCCGCGGTAATGTGACCGCACCCCCACCGGCAGGCTGTAGTTCCTGAAGACAAAGGCCTTCACCGGAGGAGCGCGGTTCACCACTGTGCTCACAGCCGCCACCTGCTGGACAAACACAGCACTGATCACAGCAGGGCTGCTCCGCAGAGCCCAAACACCAGCATCCCCAACATCACCAGAGCGAGAAAACTATTCATATTACACATATGTGGAAAGTATTTAGTTTATATTACATTATATTCAGTTATTTTAGTATCGCTGACACCATTAGATTAGATTTTTTCAAAATATATTTTCCATTTTCAACTCAATTTTATTTAAAGTTTGAGTATTTTTTTTATTATTTCAGTTTTAGTTTTTAGCTATTTTAGTACATCAAGTTGAAAATAATAAATTAAAATAATAAATATTGCCTTGGCAACTATCTGAAATAAAATAAGTTAAATATAAAATGAAAATTATAAAATACATATTTTATATTCATTTTATTTTTCAGATTTACATTATATATTATATTCTTATTTTACATTGTTTTCATTTGTATATATTTGTTTTTTATTTCGTTTCATTTTATTTTATTCAAATAGCAAAAATGTGTTTTATAGTTTTAGTAATATATTAATTGGTTATATATTTAGTTATGTAACATAATTAACATAGTTAATATAATATTTATTTATTACTAATCTAATATTTTTATTTATTTTAATCAAAATGTTTATGTATTTCGTTCTTTAATAATTTTTATTATTTATTCATGTTTTACATTTTTATCAGTTTTCTCTCAACTTTTTCCCAGACCCCAGTTTGAAAACCCCTGCAATAAAGGACAAATGTTTATTTATTTTAACCAAATTTTTGTTTATTTTTCGTTGCTAACACAGTTTTTCCATTATTTTTATTCATTTATTTTAATCACATTTTTCTTTAATTATGTATTGAACCCGGCTGACTTCGTACTTTGGGACAGTCGGGGTCGCGAGCCGTCTGGATCAGCAGGTCCGAGCCCATCTTCTCCCTGTGTGGAGGTTCAGAGGTTCAGTACAGGGAGCTTTCAGGAGACAGCAGACAACCCTGCAGCTTTCTGACACTCACTTCAGCACTTTCTCCCAGATCTGGCTGTCGTAGAAAGCGTGACTCCAGCTCATCTTCACCGTTCCCACGATCAGGTTCTGCTTGAAGACGTCTGAGCTCAGCGTCCTGTAGAGATCCTCACAGTCCTTCAGCGGGATCTGGAAGACACCCAGCATGAAGCCCAGGATCGCACCTGAGGAGAAACAGGTTAAAGCTACATGTTCTCTCAGTCAATTCAACATCTGTACAATCACACTCAATTAATCACTGTTAAAATACATCATTATCAGTAATAAACAGGAAAATAACTGTGTTAATGTTGCAAAATTCATTGATTATGCACAGTGCCGATTCTAGACTTCTGGGGGCCCCAAGCAAAACTTTGCAGAGAGGGTTCTGTCTGTGCGTTCATTAATTAAACAATTTAGCCTATAATCGCCTACTATACAGAAACTGATTAAAGCAATCATAGAATCATAAAGCATTGCATAGACTTTACCATATAAATGAATATAAATAGATTCATAACAAAGTTATGAACAATATTCAGTGAAGAGCAGTGAATAATTCTCTCATTTTCTTTTGTTGATTAACAGATGATGACAGACAGCAGCAGGTTTATACAGTAGGATCCACAGATACTGACTAGCATTCCATTACTTTTCAAACGGTTTATTTTCACTAAAGACATAACTGACTGTGTTTAGTGAAAACTCACCAAGATGGATATTTTGACATATACAATGCGCAAAGTAGCCTATATGTGTCCATCTCGTATCGTGCAAATGGAAAGTGCTGTGATTTGAACTCTTTTTTGAAGTATCAAGCAAGGCCAGCAGGAGACTGTATATGACACGGTACATGATGTGACTGATCTGGATGTTACGTAGAAAGGCCAACAGCGCACTGCATTAAGGAAAGGAACATTCATGTTTTCATAACCGCTGGCCAAAATCAAAAACACAACTGAAATTAAATACTATTTGAGAGCAAGGGGGCCCCCTGGTGTTTCAGGGGCCCTACGCAACCTGCATACTTTTTGCATAGTGAGGATCGGCTCTGAATATGCAACTCAATTTCAATGATAAAGCAGCTCCACATTATGCAGATCAACTCAGATCAGATTTTGTTCTAACCGTGTCAGTGCATTAAATATATACAGTATAATATTACTGAATATTAATTGCCTTTTAAACCTCATTTTATATGCCTTGATCAGCATTATAACTACAAGTTTTTTATTTCGTAATGTCTTATGTCTAGTTTAGCCTATATATTATACATTTTCTTTTCACATTTTCTTTTCCTGTCTTTTAATTCATTTTCTTGGCAGTTAGTTCAGTTACATTTTCATTTAAAGCACTTTATTGACATGCAATTTTGCCAAAGCATTATTACACAAAACAAGTAATCACAAGAAAAAGGAAACATACAATATAACAATAATAACAAAGAACTATAAAAATATTATTTTTATTAAATTAAATTAAGGAATGAAAAAAACAAGATAAAAATTAATGTGTATAGAATATTAAAATAGACAGATACATAATATAAATGTATAATATAAATTATGAAAAAAATATTCTTTAATTCCATCTTACTATTGTTTGTATATCTTTTATTTTTCTTCTTGTTATTATGTGTTTGGTATGATAATGATTTGCTGATACTCTATGTAAAAACAATCATGCAAGTAGCTCGGTTTTCAGTTGAAACTGTAAATTATATTCATAAATGTCACTTGTCTGAACACACGCACACGCACACGCACTCGCTCACGGACGCACGCACGCACTCGCACACGCACGTTCGGTTCCAGTTACAGAGCCTCTGCAGCAGGGCGACTGGGTGACTGTGAGGCGGCATAGTCGCGGGTCAAAACACCACTCTTCCATTCCGATCAAAACATTAAACAGGTTCTCCCCACTCAGTGACGCACCCACTGAGAAACCTGATCAAAGTGCTCTAGTTATTGGCGATTCTATTGTACGGAAGGTGAAGATAGAGACACCAGCCACCATAGTCCAATGTTTACCGGGAGCCAGAGCGCCTGACATCTTGGCAAATTTAAAAGTGCTGGCTAATGCTAAACGTAAATTCAGTAAGATTGTTATTCATGCCGGCGCTAATGATGTTCGACTTCGCCAGTCGGAGATCACTAAAAATAACATTAAAGAGGTGTGTGAACTTGCAAGCATGATGTCAGACACCGTAATATGCTCTGGTCCTCCCTGCTTACCGTGGTGACAAGACACATAGCAGACTGTCATCACTCAGTGGCTGGATGTCTAAGTGGTGCCCACAGAATAACATAGGTTTCATAGATAATTGGACAGAGTTTTTGGGGCAGACCTGACCTGTTGAAAAGAGATGGTCTTCATCCCTCCTGGGGAGGTGCCGCTCTTCTGTCTAGAAATATGGCACATAGTCTTAGAGTCTGTACTTGACTAACTGGGGCCCAGGTCAGGAAGCAGACAGACTGGCTAAACCGACCATCTGCAAGCCGCCTCACATCACAGAAATCAGTTAATTCTCAGCACACAGAGACCGCCATCAATTCGTAGCAGTGAATGAATATCATATCGATCACAAGTGCAGTATGGAGTACCTCAAGGCTCAGTACTAGGGCCGTTACGTTTCACGTTTTACATGTTACCCTTGGGAGATATCATCAGGAAACATGGTGTTAGCTTTCACTGTTATGCTATTGCGGCCCGGCGAAACATACCCATTTGAAAAACTAACAGAATGCATAGTCAATATAAAAAACTGGACAACGAGTAACTTCTTACTGCTAAATTCTGAAAAAAGGTGTTAATTATAGGACATAAAAACTCTGCACGTAATAACCTAGAACACTGTCTAACACTTGATGGCTGCTCTGTCAATTCTTCATCATCAGTTAGGAACCTAGGTGTTATTTGATAGCAATCTTTACTTTGAAAGCCACGTTTCTAGCATTTGTAAAACTGCATTTTTGTTTTTATCTCAAAAATATATCTAAATTACGACTTATGCTCTCAATGTCAAATGCAGAAATGTTCATTCATGCGTTCATGACCTCAAGGTTAGATTGTTGTAACGCTTTATTGGGTGGTTGTTCTGCACGCTTAATAAACAAACTACAGCTGGTCCAAAATGCAGCAGATAGAGTTCTTACTAGAACCAGGAAATATGACCATATTAGCCCAGTTCTATCAACACTGCGCTGGCTCCCTATTAAATTAGATTTTAAAATCGTGCTTATTATTTATAAAGCCCTGAATGGTTTAGCACCTCAAGAGAACTGGCCCCCCGACTGAGCCTGGTTTCTCCCAAGGTTTTTTCTCCATTCTGTCACCGATGGAGTTTTGGTTCCTTGCCACTGTCGCTTCTGGCTTGCTTAGTTGGGGACACTTAATTTCCAGCGATATCGTTGACTTGATTGCACAGAGACTATTTAAACTGAACTGAGCTGGATGATGACATCACTGAATTCAATGATGAACTGCCTTTAACTGAAAATTGAGTGTTTACTATTGTCCTTTTGCATTATTGACACACTATTCTCCTAATCAATGCTGTACAGTTGCTTTGACACAATCTGTATTGTTAAAAGCGCTATATAAATAAAGGTGACTTGACTTGACACACACATACATACACACACACACACGTTTCATTATATTATGGACTTTCACTGTTTTTCTATCAGGTTAATTATATGTTCTGTGTATATGTCGTAACCTGTGCAGAACACTAGATTTAAATACAGACATGATTCTGCTGATCTATGAGCCATAAATTCACCTCACTAGTCGGTTGTTGTGATATTTCACTACACACACACACACACACACACACACACACACACACCTGTGCTGACGCCACAGATGTAGTCGAACAGCTGATGGACAGGTTTTCCTGACAGCTCCTGTAAGCTGCGCAGCATCTGAAGGGCCAGCAGACCCCTGAAACACACACCAGAAACCCCAAACTCAGCTTTAACATCTCATTTAAGAATGAACACTGCATGCCATTCATAAACCCATACAGTCTCAAAATCAATCAGGTATCTCAGATTCATTAACTTAATTAAACAGGTTGCGGCACATTCAACTGAGAGTTTAAATACTAAAGACGTGTTTTGTTCAGTATTTACACAATGAAGTGGTTTATGTTCGCATATATCAATACACATGAGGTAGAGGTCCATCGATAACACGTTTAAAGAAAGGCAATAGAAATATTATTGTGCCGATACTAATAAAATCTATATACTCAATGTGTTAAATAATGTTCTTCATCTTTCTTTCCTGTGACGGGGCAATTCAGAGATAAAAACAGAGTTTACGTTGATTTAAATAGCAGATAAAGCTTATTTTGTAACCAAAATACCAATAATAGCCAGGAAAACAAAGACTTTATGCATATTGAGGGACTTCTAGTTATAAACAAACCTGAAATACACTAGGACTCTTATTTTGAAATGTCTTTGCTTTGCTACTTTACTAGTAATTGTGATGGTATTTTAACTGTTTTTTTTCTCTCTCTTTTTTAATAATGTTGTTGCTGTTATTGTGTGTGGTTGTCGTGAACTACTGCATGAGTCCAAGACAAATTTCCTGCAAAAGACAATAAAGTATAACTCTAACTCTAACTCTACTTCAGGCTGCTCATTCAAAAAGACACATAAAGAGACATCACATATGCATCTTACAACCATCTACAACATATCAGAATATGAAAAACATAACGTCAACACTGTCAAGTCATCAAAGGTGCATCATAAATGCGCGGGATACACTGATTGTGAACTGCGATCGTGTTGAACGTGCAGCATGTATTTAACTGAATCACAGTCTTTGTATGGTGGTGACTAGGGTTTTCCATCTCCACATGTAAGAGCTCTTAACATGATAATGAAGACTCTGTGAGACTTTAAGGCTCTCACCGGGTCCCCCCTCCATCGATGGCCAGGATCCGGATGCCGCGCTTCCTCACGGGCTCAGTGAAGCCCAGCAGAGCCAGAGCCTGTCGGACCGCGGACTGCAAACACACGTCACCGGCCTGACGCAGACGCAGCAGACACGGGATCACACGCTCCTGCAGAATATATCTATTAATTCATGTAACAGATGCTTTTATCCAGAGGGTTATCTTTGATCTTCCTCTACAGCAGCAGAAGCACAAACCCACTGCAGCACTTCACAAACATTCATGTTTCACCAGAAACTGACCCTCGTCATGATAACAAACTACACAGACTCCAGTCTGCACTGGAATGTAGTATATTTTATTTCAATCATGTATTTCTTTAATATTTGGTATTTTGAGTTATTCATTTTTATTGAGAAGCTCCTTTAAAGGTGCTATAGAAAATAAAGTTATTATTATATGTTACTAAGCAATATTCACATCTACATTATGGAGCATTTATTTCTATATAAAATGTTGGTTTTTTTTAAATGACAAAAAAAGAACATTTTATGCGATTTTTTCATTAAAGCAGTATCTAAGTTAAAAATGGAGCCAAGCACTTTAAATCTACTGAATGGAGGCAGATTAGTGCCACCTGCTGGAATAAAAACAAATACAAATTCAAAACACTTTATAGAAATATTTGTACTGGAAAACAAGACAAAAAATACTGAGGAAGGTATTTGTTTTTTTGCAATTCATGCACCATGTTTTGCCATGATTTTATGAATTTATGACTTTCTGCTCTGAATTATCACTTTCAGGTCTTAATTTGTGTCATTTGTGCAATGAAGCCCCACAGAAACCCTGAAACTTTACCTTTAATTCAGCATGTTTTCCTTCAGGTCCTCTAGCCCTGTTATAGCCTGTGGGTTACAGACTGAATGCTCACCTTTACGGCCACCGATCGTGTTTCTGGGAACTCCAGCAGATGGAGACTGAGATCCTCCACCCGACGGATGTAGAGCCGCACGTCTGACACCCGGCGCAGAGCCTGAACCAGAGCCCGAGTCCGGTTATCCACGCTCACCCGCGCCACGATCTGAAACACAGTCCAATCAGAGATCATTCTGTGAGTGAGGAGCCGTTAACACCAACAGTGAAATGATGCACTGCCTCGGTCGTTTAGATCTCAATTATGTGTAGATGTAAGCCAATACACACATTTTCAGAATCAGTGTTGAGGGTAATGCATTACAAGTAACGTAATCAGATTACTAGAAAGTAATCAAGACCCCTGAGGTGGAACAGAACAAAATCACAATGCGGATGCGATATAAACTATCCACTTTTCATGCTATTGCGCTATACAGTTATGTAAGACAATATCTAATAATTTTAGCAACAAAAACATGAGATTTATGCCTGTAATGCTTCATTAAAAGTAATGGGACACCAGAGTGTACTGTATTAGTGAAAAATGTCTGCTGTTGTATGACATACACCTGAATGTGTTCCTTTGTGTTTTGTCAGGGGTCCCTGGGAAGCGTAATGAGTTGTATTATGAGTGTTGTAAGGAGCCGTACCCTGATGTGACATTTACAGTAACGATGCGCAGGCGAACATTGTCTAGTAATTCGTAAAGTAAAGCATACTTTTTTTAATTTACAAGAAAATATCTGAGTTACTTTGTTTCTCATGTACTGACTGGCAGCTCTCCTGTCCTCATGTTGAGGGGAATCAGGAGTGAGTGCAGAGACGCTGTGTGAACATGATCTTACTGCAGTTCTAGACTAAATGTCAGCATGTATTACTCATCTCACTCACATAAAAACAGATTCAGTATTCCTCAAAATCAATAAAAACAGTCAAATGCAAACTCAGAATATTACGCAAACATGTTAAATAACACACATATCCTTTATGTATTTAATCCCATTTTATTAACCAGTATCTTTGCTGCTGACCTTCAATGATCAACCATAATAAGCAAAAATGACTTTAGATAAACATAACATATGTGTTTCTATTTTTATTTTTTTTGTTTCTGAAGAGAGAAAAATGAGGCTAAGGCAGATGAGAAAAAGTAACGCAAAAGTAATGTAACGCATTACTTTCCATAAAAAGTAACTAATTAGTTACTTTTTTAGGAAGTAACGCAATATTGTAATTCATTACTTTTAAAAGTAACTTTCCCTAACACTGGTCAGAATTGCCTACAGTAAATATTTAGATTGCAGAATCTATCATGTATTCGGGTCAGATTGCTGCCGTCAACAACGGCCGGCAGATGGACGAAGCGTACTGTGCTTCCACAGAAGAATGATAGATTTTATGATCAGAAAATGTGGATATTTGAGACTTTATCCAAATATTTTTGTTGAAGTATTTATTTGTTTTAAACCATTTTTTTAGATAAAAATGAAAGTGGTCAAAAATGACCAAAAAGCTTATAAGGGCTGAAGAAACTCTTCAAACAAGAATGAAAATATCAGTATTATTTGTGTCATTCAGAATCCATGTGCTGCGCATTCATTTGTGGAATCATTTTGTGCAAAGGAGTGATTTGATGGAGCTCGTGCTGAGTGTTTGTCCTTCAGAAACGAACAAGCATCGTAAACAGATAGAGGAGTACAGGCTCAAGTCTATATGATTGAACACTAATTAATAACTTCACTGAAGAGCTGTGAATCGAGTTATGATCATCTCTAGGGTCTGAGGGGAGTTTATTTTTGACACAGCTTTCCTAGAAACGACCCGAACCCACGTGTGACGACATGAGAGGATCATGAGAAGCCTGTGACACACGTGGACATCGAGCCCAGCGTACACACTACTGTTCAGAAGTCTGCTTATTAAAATAAACCAATTCATCATTAAACTGATCAGAAGTGACAGTAAAGACATTTATAATGTTACAAAAGATTTCTATGTCAAATAAATGCTGTTCTTCTGAACTTTCTATTCATCTGTGAATCCTGAAAAATAAAATGCATCACAGTTTCCACAAAAATATTGCGCAGCACGACTGTTTTCAACATTGATGATAATCAGAAATGTTTCTTGAGCAGCAAATCAGCATATTAGAATGATTTCTGAAGATCATGTGACACTGAAGACTGGAGTAATGATGCTGAAAATACAGCTGCGCATCACAGAAATAAATTACATAATATTATAATAATATTTTTTCACAGTTTTTACTGTATTTCTAATCAGATAAATGCAGCCTTCACTCTTAAAATAAGTTTCTTTATTGGTTCCATGAAGAATCTTTAACATCCATGAAGTGGAAAAAATACATTAGATTAATAAAACATTCTTTACACTAAAAAATGTGGTCATTTTAGGAACGATTTTTTGAGGAACCAAAAATGGTTCTTGTATTCTTTTTGGAAACTTGTTTTAAGAGTAAAGGCATGTGTAAAGCCAAGTTAAGGCTGCTCTGTGTCTGCTCAGAATCATGTGTAAAGACATAATGCAGCATAAAAGACAGTCTAAAATATGCATGTTCTGTCTAGGGTTGGGTACCATTCACATTTTAACCGCTACGGTACCGGTATCGGTACTTTACTCTATGCGTAATTACAAAAACATTTATTTCAGTGAAAAAATAAGTCCAAAAGTCTCAATTTCAACATTTTGAACAATAGGGCCCTACAAATCTTTCTTTCTTTCTTTTTTTCCCCCAGAAATTCTTATTTTAATATTTCTGAAAAGGCATTAAACATTTATTTTAAATCAAATGAAAATTAAATCCTTTTATATTTTGGCAAACAAACTGAGGTTTACTGTTGAAATTAATACATGGAAGAAAAATTGTGTGAATATTCCTTTAAAACATTTTTTTTTAATAGGCTAATAATTGTATTATTTTTTTCCTACATTTTAGTGATTAATCTGGTTGTAATATTTATTTTTATCATTTAATTGTTTTATTTAAATTTGATAGAAAATTGAATATTTAAAGATGTACATTATACTGTACAAAAGTAATACAAGAGTAAATATATTTCTGTTACATGTTAAACCACACTTTTATTTTGGCAGGTTGCCATGAAGTTTCTGTGTGTATACAGTATGATGATGCTAGTTTTCTCAAATGAAACGGTAAAATTCTCACTCAGTGATTCTCAAAGCAGCTCTGGAGATTATGTGTTTGTGTTCATGCCATCATACAGTGAGACGCAGAGGCCGGAAATGACTGCGAGCGTCACGCGTGCTTCAGTATTTGTGTAGTAAACAAAACCGCATTACGCCATTCATACATACAGAGGCAAGCGGAACATGCAGGATTCATATTTAAACCGTCTTTTTGCATTTTAATATTCACAGACACTAGTTCAAATCGCGATTCGATTAAGTGGCAGTGGCTACTTTTGATTTATTCGTCCAAAATTTACGAATTCCGAGGCATTTAGCGCTATAGAGTAAATTACGTTTTTATGAATGGACTCCGCGATCCCGTCCGTGTTTTCTCAGAAACCATATGGCTTCTGTACATATTCTGTACATTCTGTCATATGGCTTAACGGTACCCTTAAAAGTACCGAGTTCGGAACCCAACCCTAGTTCTGACCCACCTCAGGATCAATGCATACAGTAATAATAGCTGTGTAAATGCATTCATGCCATCTCTGAGCAGCATTAAAGGAGTAGTTCACTTCCAGAATAACGATCTCCTGATAATGTACTCATCCCCGTGTTATTCAAGATGTTCATGTCTTTCTTTCTTTAGTCACAATGAAATTAAGGTTTTTGAGGAAAACATTCAGGGTTTTTCTCCATATAATGGACTTCAATGGGGACCAACGGGATGAAGGTCCAAATCACAGTTTCAGTGAAGCTTCAAAGAGCTCTACACGATCCCAGCCGAGGAATAAGGGTCTTATCTAGGGAAACCATCACTCATTTCCTTAAAAAAATAAATATTTATTTAGTTTTTAATCACAAACGCTGGTCTTGCACTAGCTGGACTTCACGCATGACGTTATCACGCTGGAAAGGTCGCACGTGGTTTGCTCTTCGTCTGTGTGCTCCGGTTCAGAAAGAAAAACTCCATCTCATTTTCTCCTCCAACTTCAAAATCATCTGAAATCGTGTTTTACCTTTTTTTTTTTATAAAGGGCATTTGACTTTCTCTGCACGTTAGCTTTGTAAACACTGGATCGGTGTTTCTGCTTTCGTCACGCGTGACCTTTCCAACGGGATTACGTCATGCGTGAAGTCCAGCTACTGCAAGATGAGCATTTGTGATTAAAATGTATATCAATTATATTTTTTAAAGAAAATAACCGATGGTTTCTCTAGAAAAGACTCTTATTCCTTGGCTGGGATCGTGTAGAGCTCTTTGAAGCTGCATTGAAACTGTGATTCGGACCTTTGGTCCCCATTGAAGTTCATTATATGGAGAAAAACCCTGGAATGTTTTTCCATGACATGAGGGCAATTAAATTATCAAATTATCATTTTTATTCTGGAAGTGAACTACTCCTTTAAACAGTCTGTGTAAAGACGCCTAAATGCCACTTCAGAAGCGCCTCAGTGGTGTAAATTGGGCATAAGAGACTTCTTTCATAAACGTTCAGAAATCTCAGTAAATGTTTGATTCCACGCGTACCTTCTCTCTCTGGAGCTGCAGGCGTCTGGCTCTCTCCTCCGCCGCTCTCTGAGCTTCACTCTGGACCGTTTCCTTGCATTCAGCATCATCAGAAGCAGCTTCATCTGCCTCCACCGACGTGCTTTTGGGCTCCGTTCTGAACCGGGGGACCAGCGGCGTAATGTAGTTCCCTATGAAGCCCTGGACGCTCGGCAGCGAGTAGTTCAAGTAGCTCCCGAGTCCTTTTCCGAGGGAGAAAGACGGTTCGGCGCAAGGCATTTCCAGGCGAGAGGACGCGGGCTGGGTGACATCTGGGCCGGGTTTAGTTAAGCTGCTGAAGTAAGAGTTGATATGCTGAGACACATAGTCGTAAGTCTCGCCCAGATAAATGCTGAGGGAGCCTGGGTAGAAGAGGGGCGTGGCCTGTTTGGTGGGTGGAGCCTGTGGTATAGTGGGCGGGGCTGCTCCGGTCACTCTGCACACCTTCTCTTCCTGGATCTCAGTTGTCGTAGCAACAAGTGTGGGGGGCAGAGCCTATGACAAAACAGGTACAGGATTATTATAGTTAAATAAAACTAAAACCAAAATCCTAAAAACCATTTCTGCTACATAAAATAAATGTTAAATGAAATTTTATATTATATAGAACTATTTCAGGTAGTTTCCAAGGCAACATTTCTCATTTTCATTAAGTTTAGCTTGATGTACTAAAGTAACTAAAACTAAAATGGAATTAACATTAATATTTAAAAACAACAAAACTAATACAAATAAAAAAACAATAAAAAAACAATAAAATTACTAAAAGTACTCAAATTAAAATGAAAGAATAAAAACAGAAAAATAATAAATAAAACAAACTAAAATCATTAAAAAACACTTATGTTACTTAAAGTAAATGTTAAATAAATAAAAAAAACTATAAAAAATGTAAACTATTTTAAATTATTTTTCCAAGCTTAACTTGATGTACTAAAATAACTCAAACATAAGTCAAATTAATAAAAGCTATATAGACAAATTTAAAAATGAAAAAAAAAATAAATAAAATCACTACAAAATCATTAAAACTTTAACCAAAATTAACATGAAAGCAGAAAATATAAAAATAAAATCGAATTCTAAATATTAAAGGAGTCCTATTATGCCTTTTCACGTTGGTGTGTAATGTTTTTTTAGCTTAAAAAAAGATCTGCAAGGTTGTAATAGTTATCCAGCTGACACAAGGTTACAAAGTCCACTCTAAAAGGAGATCTTCTCACTTTTCAAGAACTACAGCAAACAGCTCGTTCGGACTACAGTGCACTTCTTCTGGATACTGTGACATCAAAGTCACTCATTTACATAATCCCCGCCTATGGAATTTTCGAAAAGGGGGTGTGGCCTGGTTAATTTTAATTTGTTAAAACATAATTAAAAATAATTTATGTATTTATTTTTATTTCTCTTACTAAATTCAGTTATTTATTAAATATATACACGTATAAATATATTTTAATTTATTTGTTTATATGATTAGTAATGAAAGATTTATTTGGTTTAATAGTAATAATATTTATTTTATTTGTAATAATAATTTTGTATGTTTTGATAATATTTATTTATTTGGTTTAATACTAATACTACTAATAATAAAAAGTAATAAAAATAAAGGCGTGGCATTTCCGGAACACACTCTAAGCTGTTCACCAATCACAGTGCACTGAGCCAGCACTGGGACCAATCAGAGCACATTTCATATTTCAGAAGGAGCGGCTTCATTGAAACAGGAACTAAACAGTGCGTTTGAGAGGAGAGGTGCTGCAATAATGTCAAATATGTGGAAAAACGGGATGAAGTTCCAAATCACAGTTTCAGTGAAGCTTCAAAGAGCTCTACACGATCCCAGCCGAGGAATAAGGGTCTTATCTAGGGAAACCATCACTCATTTCCTTAAAAAAATAAATATTTATTTAGTTTTTAATCACAAACGCTGGTCTTGCACTAGCTGGACTTCACGCATGACGTTATCACGCTGGAAAGGTCGCACGTGGTTTGCTCTTCGTCTGTGTGCTCCGGTTCAGAAAGAAAAACTCCATCTCATTTTCTCCTCCAACTTCAAAATCATCTGAAATCGTGTTTTACCTTTTTTTTTTTATAAAGGGCATTTGACTTTCTCTGCACGTTAGCTTTGTAAACACTGGATCGGTGTTTCTGCTTTCGTCACGCGTGACCTTTCCAACGGGATTACGTCATGCGTGAAGTCCAGCTACTGCAAGATGAGCATTTGTGATTAAAATGTATATCAATTATATTTTTTAAAGAAAATAACCGATGGTTTCTCTAGAAAAGACTCTTATTCCTTGGCTGGGATCGTGTAGAGCTCTTTGAAGCTGCATTGAAACTGTGATTCGGACCTTTGGTCCCCATTGAAGTTCATTATATGGAGAAAAACCCTGGAATGTTTTTCCATGACATGAGGGCAATTAAATTATCAAATTATCATTTTTATTCTGGAAGTGAACTACTCCTTTAAACAGTCTGTGTAAAGACGCCTAAATGCCACTTCAGAAGCGCCTCAGTGGTGTAAATTGGGCATAAGAGACTTCTTTCATAAACGTTCAGAAATCTCAGTAAATGTTTGATTCCACGCGTACCTTCTCTCTCTGGAGCTGCAGGCGTCTGGCTCTCTCCTCCGCTGCTCTCTGAGCTTCACTCTGGACCGTTTCCTTGCATTCAGCATCATCAGAAGCAGCTTCATCTGCCTCCACCGACGTGCTTTTGGGCTCCGTTCTGAACCGGGGGACCAGCGGCGTAATGTAGTTCCCTATGAAGCCCTGGACGCTCGGCAGCGAGTAGTTCAAGTAGCTCCCGAGTCCTTTTCCGAGGGAGAAAGACGGTTCGGCGCAAGGCATTTCCAGGCGAGAGGACGCGGGCTGGGTGACATCTGGGCCGGGTTTAGTTAAGCTGCTGAAGTAAGAGTTGATATGCTGAGACACATAGTCGTAAGTCTCGCCCAGATAAATGCTGAGGGAGCCTGGGTAGAAGAGGGGCGTGGCCTGTTTGGTGGGTGGAGCCTGTGGTATAGTGGGCGGGGCTGCTCCGGTCACTCTGCACACCTTCTCTTCCTGGATCTCAGTTGTCGTAGCAACAAGTGTGGGGGGCAGAGCCTATGACAAAACAGGTACAGGATTATTATAGTTAAATAAAACTAAAACCAAAATCCTAAAAACCATTTCTGCTACATAAAATAAATGTTAAATGAAATTTTATATTATATAGAACTATTTCAGGTAGTTTCCAAGGCAACATTTCTCATTTTCATTAAGTTTAGCTTGATGTACTAAAGTAACTAAAACTAAAATGGAATTAACATTAATATTTAAAAACAACAAAACTAATACAAATAAAAAAACAATAAAAAAACAATAAAATTACTAAAAGTACTCAAATTAAAATGAAAGAATAAAAACAGAAAAATAATAAATAAAACAAACTAAAATCATTAAAAAACACTTATGTTACTTAAAGTAAATGTTAAATAAATAAAAAAAACTATAAAAAATGTAAACTATTTTAAATTATTTTTCCAAGCTTAACTTGATGTACTAAAATAACTCAAACATAAGTCAAATTAATAAAAGCTATATAGACAAATTTAAAAATGAAAAAAAAAATAAATAAAATCACTACAAAATCATTAAAACTTTAACCAAAATTAACATGAAAGCAGAAAATATAAAAATAAAATCGAATTCTAAATATTAAAGGAGTCCTATTATGCCTTTTCACGTTGGTGTGTAATGTTTTTTTAGCTTAAAAAAAGATCTGCAAGGTTGTAATAGTTATCCAGCTGACACAAGGTTACAAAGTCCACTCTAAAAGGAGATCTTCTCACTTTTCAAGAACTACAGCAAACAGCTCGTTCGGACTACAGTGCACTTCTTCTGGATACTGTGACATCAAAGTCACTCATTTACATAATCCCCGCCTATGGAATTTTCGAAAAGGGGGTGTGGCCTGGTTAATTTTAATTTGTTAAAACATAATTAAAAATAATTTATGTATTTATTTTTATTTCTCTTACTAAATTCAGTTATTTATTAAATATATACACGTATAAATATATTTTAATTTATTTGTTTATATGATTAGTAATGAAAGATTTATTTGGTTTAATAGTAATAATATTTATTTTATTTGTAATAATAATTTTGTATGTTTTGATAATATTTATTTATTTGGTTTAATACTAATACTACTAATAATAAAAAGTAATAAAAATAAAGGCGTGGCATTTCCGGAACACACTCTAAGCTGTTCACCAATCACAGTGCACTGAGCCAGCACTGGGACCAATCAGAGCACATTTCATATTTCAGAAGGAGCGGCTTCATTGAAACAGGAACTAAACAGTGCGTTTGAGAGGAGAGGTGCTGCAATAATGTCAAATATGTGGAAAATAATGAATTTTTGGAACAATCCTATTCTAGTACACCCCAAAAACCAAATCAACACTGTGTAAAAGAGCATGATAGGGCCCCTTTAACAATCTGAACGATGCTGAAGTAACACTGAACAGCAGGCAGGCTTGAGGTCTCCTCGGCTTTGAGTCGTGTCCCACTCGCTGCTTTCCATGCTGAGTCTAGAACGCTCCTCAGACGGGACGCGTGATATCTCAGGTCGGCTGCCCCGCGGCGCGTCGACGTGCTGAAGGCCGAGATGTTTGCGTACGATCCTGCCCTGCAGAACCAGAACCTCCGGCTGCGCCCGGGCCTCCAGCTCTTCCTACAGGTCAGGCTCCTCAGCGCGGACGCAGACAGGACGGCGGACACACGTCCCGGTCTGTGGCACAGACGCAGCGCGCAGCCGTCCAGCAGGCAGACCACGGTCATGGTAACGGTTCTTCAGCTCACTTCCAGAAAGCTCCTCATCATCCTTCAGATGCCTGTGAACAACACCAGCATCAGCACAACATGACAGCACGCCACATTTCAGCCCCAAATCAAGCCACTGTGCCAACGTTTTCATAACAACAGTACTTATTACTGTAATGCAATACTGAGATTCTTATTCAAATCGGCATAACATAATTGTAACGCTATAATAAATGCTACATTTTCACTTGATCACACATAAAAAAAACTATTAAAAAGTAAATAAAAATCATAAATTGTTAAAGTTTGATCAATTGAATTGATTAGAAATGCATTTTGATTATTACATAATAAATTATACATTTAATAAAAATAAAAAAAATGGAATCCAGAATAATTTAAATGGAAAAACAAGAAAATATATATTTAAGGAAATTAATTGTAACAGTATAATAAATGTTACATTTTAATTTGATCACATTTTAAAACATTTATTAAATTGTTAATGTGTTATTGCCTTCATTTGATGTGCACCACAATTTCTGATACATTTGCATTAAATCATAAATACAAAAACAGATAACACCGAACTTCTGAAAACATTTCACATAACCATATTACTGTAAAAAAAAAAAAAAAATTGTTATATAAAAAAGTTTTATAAATGTCATTAATTAGACATGCTTTTGTTCATTAACATTTAAATTAAGAATTAAAACGGAACCTAGAAAAAATGTAAATGCAAACAAAAAAGGGGATTCCAGAATAATTAAAATGGAAAAAAGTTAAGGAATATTAATTTTAACAGTATAATAAATGCTACATGGCTTTGAGTCGTGTCCCACTCGCTGCTTTCCATGCTGAGTCTAGAACGCTCCTCAGACGGGACGCGTGATATCTCAGGTCGGCTGCCCCGCGGCGCGTCGACGTGCTGAAGGCCGAGATGTTTGCGTACGATCCTGCCCTGCAGAACCAGAACCTCCGGCTGCGCCCGGGCCTCCAGCTCTTCCTACAGGTCAGGCTCCTCAGCGCGGACGCAGACAGGACGGCAGACACACGTCCCGGTCTGTGGCACAGACACAGCGCGCAGCCGTCCAGTAGGCAAACCACGGTCATGGTGACGGTTCTTCAGCTCACTTCCAGAAAGCTCCTCATCATCCTTCAGACGCCTGTGAACAAGAGCAGCATCAGCACAACATGACAGCACGCCACATTTCAGCTCCAAATCAAGCCACTGTGCCAACGTTTTCATAACAACAGTACGTATTACTGTAGTGCAATACTGAGATTCTTATTCAAATCGGCATAACATAATTGTAACGCTATAATAAATGCTACATTTTCACTTGATCACACATAAAAAAAACTATTAAAAAGTAAATAAAAATCATAAATTGTTAAAGTTTGATCAATTGAATTGATTAGACATGCTTTTTGATTATTACATAATCAATTATACATTTAATTAAAAAATTAAAATGGAATCTAAAAGAATTAAAAAGTGCAAAAAAAAAGGAATCCAGAATAATTAAAATGAAAAAAGAAGAAGAAACTTTAAGGAAATTAATTGTAACAGTATAATAAATGTTACATTTTAATTTGATCACATTTTAAAACATTTATTAAATTGTTAATGTGTTATTGCCTTCATTTGATGTGCACCACAATTTCTGATACATTTGCATTAAATCATAAATACAAAAACAGATAACACCGAACTTCTGAAAACATAAAACATTTCACATAACCATATTACTGTAAAAAAAAATAATAAATTGTTATATAAAAAAGTTTTATAAATGTCATTAATTAGACATGCTTTTGTTCATTAACATTTAAATTAAGAATTCAAACGGAACCTAGAAAAAATGTAAATGCAAACAAAAAAGGGGATTCCAGAATAATTAAAATGGAAAAAAGTTAAGGAATATTAATTTTAACAGTATAATAAATGCTACATTTTCATGTGATCACATTTTAAAAGATTTATTAAATTGTTAATGTTTTATGCCTTCATTTGATTTATGCCACCATTTCTGATACCTTTGTATTAAATCATAAATTCAAAAACAGATAACACAGAACTTCTGGAAATAAAAAATAGAATCCAGAATAAATCAAATGAAAAAACAAAACAAAACTGAATTTAGGATAAAAACTAAAAGAGAATGTGAAATCATTGTCTGTTTTCTCATTCTTCTCAGCAGTTATCATTACTGTAATACAGTGAGACGCAGCAGACATACAGTCAGCTAAAGAAATATTACTACTATGACGCACAAATATTTGACTAATATTGCATAGTTTCCAGTAATGAGAATTTAAATGTGATGTCCATTTTCTTGACAAGACTTGTTTTGTTAGATTTACCTTTGCAATTAATCACAGTTTCCATTCAAATACAGTAGTTTCAGCATGTAACTTTAATAAAATAATCATAAATGCATTATGTATCTCCTTTAATGTGACTTTATAAACTAGAATTATGGCGTTGGTGTGTTAGAAATGAATTCCAGTAAATATGAACCTGGGATATAATTTTGTATGAACAAAACACAAAATAAAGATAACATTGCACCTGTAATTTATAACAAAGCATTAATTTCTGCCCAAAACAACGATGAAATATGAGATTGAATGTAAATAAGGGACTTTTGAGCTTTAAATGTAGGACAATCTCACAGGGTCACGCCGATAAACTGAAGAAATCTCACACACAAGCAGTAAATAACAACATACCTGCTGGTTAAACGCGCATAATGAAGGCTGGCCGTCGGTTATTATACTAAGTTAGCTGGTTATTAACAGTTGTTTGCGGGTCATTCGATAAACACAGCGCGCACTTCCGCATTCAGTCACGTGACACCCAACGGCGTGTTTGATTGGGCGATCAACAGTTCTGTCACCTTGCAGACTTTTATATCCAGGCCTGATTATCAGAGTTTAATGCTTGTTTTTCACCTGTGCTTCTAAGGTAGAAAATGTGGGAGTGCAATCAAAATTGATGAAATAATAAAAATGTAATAAAGGTATACAAGAAGACTTTTACAAGCAAAATTAAGTATAAAAAGTACCATTTTAAAATACTTCTGCCTCAAACTGTATTTAATAATTATGTAAAATGTAAATAATTATTACATTATTATGTTTTGTTTGTCATGTAATGGATGGAACCAGCTTTTTTACTTTGAATGTGCAGCACTTACATTTAGTTAATTAAATCAAAGCCTTTTAAAGTTTATTATCTACCTGTTTATTATTAAGTTAAAATAAGACGTTTATGTCATTTAAAACACTTAAGACTTTTTACAATCTTAAATTTAATGAGTGATAATTCTCTACTTTTTACCGACCTGCAGGTTTTTTTTTTATTCATACACATGCTCCTAAATACATTCTACATTTTGCACACAATCTATTAATCTGTGTAACAACTGTGTGCTGCGTTTTGTGAACTGTTTGTCAGGAATGCAGGAATTCACTGTATTCGAAGAGACTCTGTCACGTCGCCCCATTTTGGGGAAAAAATAGAGAGAAATGCTCATTATTTCCAGTTAATCCATCCCTACTGAGGTCATACTGCCAGGTCATAGCTGGTCAGACTCAGAAGACTGGTTTTGGTCACTTCTTTAGCTGGTCAGGCTGGGAGACCAGCTTAGGCTGTTTTTTGTAGTTTTTTTTCTTCCAGCAGAGATACATTTAAATTTCACACTTTTGGACTAAACGCCCTGAGGGACGTTGTTTTGTACAGAGACTTTGACAAACATACAGGCTCATGTCATTAAAAGCATGGAATCGGATTTTGCATAATGTCACAATAAATTTTATAGTATTACTGAGATCAATCATTTACCATCAGTTTGAGTCTGTTTCAGTGCACTTCTGACTGCAGCATCAAGTAGAGAAAAGTGCAGAACTGTGTAACGCTAGTGATGGAAAAATAAGAACAAGGACACTTGAAGCCGTCGGTGAACCTTTATTGTGTAACTTGAATCAAACTAACACACATGGCAGCATTAGAGAGGCGAGGGTGGAGGTGATGGACACCAGAGGAGGACCAGGCCTGGCAATTTCCCAGTTTCACCCCCAACGTGGCATTTTCCCCCATTCAGTGTGGCAAATTCCCATTTTAGTTTCCAGATCTGTGGAACAAATAGCCATGAATTAAATCACATCTGATGCTTCAGCTTTTATGATCATGTGAGCCACAGCACTCTGAATATTTAACTCGCTTTATTTTTCCGGCATCTCTTTCTACACCAATAAAATGTGGTCACAGAAACGGTTTTAATAGCACTGATAAAGTGACCTGGAAACAAAGGTGGGGCCAAAATCAAAATCATATCATGGGATCAACGGCATCTTTCAGACTTTTCCACACTGATGCTGAGTCACTGGAAGAGAATTGAATCCTTATTTTTTCAGAATAATTCCTCTTTGCCACTCTGATCTCCTTTTCCAGTGTGTATTTAGCCTGTTTATACAAGATATTTTCCCCCTTCCCGTAAGCATCTTCTTTGGCCTGACGGAGCTGTCTGAGTTTTGCAGTGAACCATGGTTTGTCGTTGTTGTAGGTTAACCTCCTGGGGTCGTCAGATTTGAATGATGACAGCGAAAAGAACTAAAATGCTCCTTCATACTTGACCGTACTTATAAGAGTAATACAGCATTTAAATCTGTAAAGGGTCTACTTTTATTTGTGTACACTCACAATATCAACAAAACATTGTGCTTTTGCAAAATAAAGAAAATAAACAGGGTGTGCTTTTAGCCGTCTCATTCTCCGCGCATATCTGTTTGAAACGCGTCACTAAAATGAACTGAAACTCAGCGAATATTTGACACACACACATGAGAGATATATCTATAGAAATCTTAACATGTCTACTTTTAAACGAAGTAAGTCATGACGAAAACAAATATTATGTGACAAAGTAATCAGTATGAAACCAACGCTATGTCAAGTCTTAGCCATCGCCTTCATTATCTAATGTGACCACACGTCCACGCGCCGATCGCGCTTTTGATATTACAATCATCCACGTGAGACGCGCGTATGTAAACGCCCACGTCACAGCAAACAAAGCAGCGAGACTTTTCCTAAAGTTCATCTCGGCTACTTCGGTTCTGGAAGAAGATGCGCTGAGAGAAATAAGCTTTGGATTTTCCTCAGAAGAACGCGCAGGCGTGATATTCAGTGGAGGATATAGTAAGTCTTTTTTTATTTGCCTACTTGCATTAGTTGCTATTGTGTTACTGTGACATAACTTGTACATACAGTGGGTACGGAAATTATTCAGACCCCCCTTAAATTTTTCACTCTTTGTTATATTGCAGCCATTTGCTAAAATCATTTAAGTTAATTTTTTTTCCTCATTAATGTACACACAGCACCCCATATTGACAGAAAAACACAGAATTGTTGACATTTTTGCAGATATATTAAAAAAGAAAAACTGAAATATCACATGGTCCTAAGTATTCAGACCCTTTGCTGTGACACTCATATATTTAACTCAGGTGCTGTCCATTTCTTCTGATCATCCTTGAGATGGTTCTACACCTTCATTTGAGTCCAGCTGTGTTTGATTATACTGATTGGACTTGATTAGGAAAGCCACACACCTGTCTATATAAGACCTTACAGCTCACAATGTCAGAGCAAAAAAAATGCAGGAGGATTTTAAATGTGATGAGGGCAATAGCTGGAAAAGAATGGGGTGCTGAAAAAGAATCAATGTTAACAATATATCAAGCTTTGATAAGATCTATAATAGATTACGGATGCATGATTTATTGTTCAGCATCAGAAACATTATTAAGGAGTCTAGATAGGATACAGTATAGAGCTCTTAGAATATGCTTAGGAGCAACTAAAACAACACCAATCAATGCGTTATTAGTAGAGGCAAATGAAATGCCATTGAGCTTGAGGAGAGTTCAATTGTCTTTGGTATATTGGTTGTCTTTAAAGAGTTATTCTGGAAAACATATAGCTAAAGATATTTTAAATAATTGCTGGGAATACTCAAATAACAAAGGGAGAGGATATGGATGGAATATAAATCAGTTAGCAGAGAAATATCAGATAACAAATATATCCATTTAAGGGTTATGGAGGCCACTGTGCTCTTAGGAACTTTAAGTGCAGCAGAAATTTTTTTGTAACCTTTGCCAGATCTGTGCCTTGCCACAATTTTGTCTCTGAGCTCTTCAGGCAGTTCCTTTTGACCTCATGATTCTCATTTGCTCTGCCATGCACTGTGAGCTGTAAGGTCTTATATAGACAGGTGTGTGGCTTTCCTAATCAAGTCCAATCAGTATAATCAAACACAGCTGGACTCAAATGAAGGTGTAGAACCATCTCAAGGATGATCAGAAGAAATGGACAGCCCCTGAGTTAAATATATGAGTGTCACAGCAAAGGGTCTGAATACTTAGGACCATGTGATATTTCAGTTTTTCTTTTTTAATATATCTGCAAAAATGTCAACAATTCTGTGTTTTTCTGTCAATATGGGGTGCTGTGTGTACATTAATGAGGAAAAAAATTAACTTAAATGATTTTAGCAAATGGCTGCAATATAAGAAAGAGTGAAAAATTTAAGGGGGTCTGAATACTTTCCGTACCCACTGTACATGCTGCTCACATATTATTGTAGCCCAGTTTGTGCTGATTACAGTGTTATTAAACTTTAGACATTTAAATGTTTGTAAGCAACTGAAAAAAGCACAAATGTCAGGGCATGTCAAAACTTTTCCAGGCCCCAAAACACCCTCAGACCCCAGAGGGTTAATTTGTGTTCCGAAGATGAACGAAGGTCTTACGGGTTTGGAAAGACATGAGGGTGAGCTCTGACATAAATTTCACTCTTATCTTTTCCCAAAATATTTGCAGGAACTGAAGCAGCCACCATCAGGTGTGGGTACAGAGTCAGGGGAGACAACTGCAGGAAGCTAGAAGTGGTTTGATCTGATGCATGAAGCTATTGGGGGGAGGCCATCAATTCAGCCTCCTCTTCTGATAGCTTCAGCATCCACTTCCACCACACCACCATCCAGCTCCACAGACCTGGTTGAAAACAGGTGACAGCGAGGCTACCCCCTTGCCAGCAAAAAGACAGCGTAGGGATCCAGTTTTAGAGTTCCTGGAAAAAGAGGCAGAGAGGTCTGAGGCCAGGCAAAGAAGATCAGAGGAAAGAAAGGAAAAATTTATGAACTTACTGGAGAGATTGGATTGTTAATAAGATGTGAATTTGTAAAACAAAATAATAATAATAATAATAATAATAAAACGGTTATTGAACTTGTTGTTTTCTCATTTTTACTATTGCAGGCAATACAGTTTTTTAAAGTATTGGTTACTGGGGATCAGTTCATTAGTTTTAATTTTTTTGATAATACTATATATATCAGTAATTCTATAATTCAAATGTGAAATATAATTATGTATTTACATTAAGGAACCTCTTCTGACAAGTAAAGTTATTGTATGCTTATTCTTTCAATGTGAAAACCGAGTTAAGATGTTAAGATGTTACAGGGGACTGGTTTATCAGGTAACAAATATTAATATTTAGTTTTTTCCAGATTGCAGAAATCAGAGGATTCGAGGATTCTCACTATAGCAGAATGTAGTCATGATCCCTGAGAGCTGTCACATTGATAATGTCATCTCTGCCAGGTGCAGAGACTGCTGCAGCAAGGTGCTCTCTTATTTGTTCTCCACCCTGAGGGTCTTGGTTGTGTGGCAGTGCATCATTGTTGTCATCTGGCACAAGTGCTGCCTCAACTGGCTCCAAAATGTCACCATTGGTGAGACAAATGTTATGAAGAATGGCACAGCAAGCAATCACAGCAGGGGCAAAACTGGGCTTCACCTCCAAAG